AGCGAGCAATTGTGGGCAGCGTGGAGCTCTATAAGGGCACTCTGGACGGTCTCGTGAAGGTAAGGAGGTAACAGGTGGGCAAATTCCTGTTTTTTAGAAAATGGCCAAATTCAAGCTGTTGAAATATGGGCTGGATGAGCAGACAGTGAGGTGGATCAAACATTGGTTGATCATCCAAGCCTGGAGGGTAGCAGTCGGTGGTACAAAGTCTTGGTGGAGGCCAGTAATGAGCGTAGTACCCCAGCAGTCAAAGCTGTGTCCGTACTGCTTAGTGTGCCAGGAAGCTTGGAGCTGTTCTGTATTGAGGGTATTGCACTCTGTGAAGGATGTTTACAGTGCCTGCCACAATGAATTCATCCACAATGCGTGGACTTGCTGAAAGAACACTCCAGGTGTTCCCAGAGCAGAAGTCCTCCCTGGGCCTTCGTCTCTCTGCAGGATCTGTGACTGTACCCAAGTTGTGTCTCATAACTGATACCTCCTCTCTCTTCGCAGACATGGAAGAGCGAGGGATTCTTTGCACTCTATAAAGGCTTCTGGCCAAACTGGCTTCGGCTCGGTCCCTGGAACATCATTGTATCCTTCAGTGTGTTGCTGGGAGGCCATGAACATGGACAGGCAGGGGAGGACAAGCTGTAAGTAGAAGTTCAGAGCAGACACGCTGACGGTGTACCTCTTTGTCTTCCTCGCAGTAGCCCAAAGTGAACTCCCTGTTCTGCTTGGACAGATGTAAACCGATGTGGCTGCAGATGGTTCAAGTGCCAAAAAATGCCACTGTTGGCGACTGCTGCTTCTAAAAGCTCTGTAGGTGGTTAGTGCAGGGACTGCCAGTGCAGCAGCATGGATACTTTCCTGTAAAGTAAGTGCTCTCAAGTGTTTGGCTTTAAACTTTCCATTTGGCTTGAGCTGCTAGAGGTGCAGCAGTTTCTGGATTGGCTCCTATTTTTGGGGGGAAGCCTGGTGAATTTCTGCCCTTAGGACAGGTGCTGACCTGCTCTGCAGAATCAGCTCTTCTGGATTGCTGTAATGGTCCTTCTGGCCCTCTGAAATCGTGTATACAGCTTATTTTAAAGAATTCAAAATTTAGAAAGTCCCAGTCTGGGGTTAGAGTCGCCTCCCATTCTCAGTGGTCTTGGCAAGCCTGGCCCAGCTTGCTTCTGGGTCAGTCTCTTCCCTCTTGGTAGCTCTCCTGCAGCTGTCTTCCACCTCTACAGATCACTTTATGCTGCCTGGAAGAGGGACTTCCCCACGGGCTTTCTGTGCTGATCTACCTGCCTTGCCTTGTCAGGTACGGCCTGGTTATGAGGGAGGTTCAGTGCAGCTGCTATATATATAGTTGTCTGTCCCAATTCCTTAACTTCCTCTTCAGTTTTTTATCACATATGAGCAGTTGAAGCGACTTCCGTTCTGAGAGCTGGCTGCATTCCGTGGGTGTCATCTTCAAGACTTGCAGCAGTATTTTGCTGCAGCCTTCCTCTTCATTTCACCATCCCCGTCTTTTGATGTGTTGGTACATGTGGGTCTGGACTCTCTCCCTCCCCCAAATGCATGGTCCCTGGAGCATGTTCTGGCTGAAGTATAACTGAGAGGCTGATTGCAGGTACTGCATGTTGTTTTTTTTCACACAGAAGCAAGTATTAACTGTGTACAAGTGTCTGGGCCTGAAGCAATATCTTCTGTGAAGATCTGTGCATTCCAGTGGCCTTTTGATGCAGCTGTGGTTAGTTGTTTGGCTCATGTGCATTGTTCTGCCGTGCCTGTGGGGTGAGGCTGGAGGCTGGAAAAGGGGTGCTGTCATGTTTTCTTGCGGATCTGTAACCTCATTAAATTATTTATTGACTGGATGGTATGAGTTTGTGTTTGTGCAGACTTACAGTAGGTATATTTTCCAGAGCAGATGGTGTGTCTGCCTTTGGGGAGAACATGAAGTATTTTTTCTGCACAATGTGTATCTTTTTTTTCCCCCAAATATATATTTTTTTCTTATCAATTTTTACGTTTTGTTGTAATATAAAAGTTTCTAAAACACAGTTTGTTACTGTCAGGAAACTGTTACCTTAGTTTTGCAAAACCTCAGTCTCTCATAACCTTATTGTTTATATTATTTTTAAAGCAAAGTAAATTGGTTTAAAACTGAACTCAGATGCCCCGCTTTAAGATGATGGTCTAACATTTCCAGTGCAAAGCAGAACATCAGGTTATTTTCATCATTCTCTTCTGTGTTGTTTTGTTTTGTTTTGTTTTTTAATGCATATGTCTGTGAAAGCAAACAGCTTAGGTTTTCCTATTTCCTTCCTTCTTTATGGGGCAGCTTTAGTTTGGATGAAGGTCTCTTGTGACATACAGCAATGCTTCCTGTTCACGAGTGCTGTAAACCACGATTTTCTGTGCAAATTGCATAAGGGATGTTCAGCTGAACTGAGGGAATTGTTTGCTGTGGTTTTGCAAAGACCTGGGTGTACTGTACTAGCCGAATGCATAAGGAATTTGACTCCAGTAAACTCCTGAACTTAAATCATGCCATGAACAGAGTAGCAGCCTGTAGGTATTTCTACAGGGCCACAGCTCCTTCTCGTAGGGCTGGGAGGATTGTTTTCAGAGTTAAACCACAAGATACCAGAGACTGGGAACAGTGGATTGAAAGAAATGGACAACATGCATATGCTTCACCTTGCTTTACTCCTCAAGAGAATTTCTAAACATTACAAGTAAATAAATAGTTACGTGATGGATGAATATGAGTCCATTTGAGAGATGTAATTTAACTTCAGTTCCATATATTCTTTTGGTTTTCTTTGGTGTTCCTGTATCTTCAGTTCTGGAGCAGTTTCTTCTGTGCAACTCCATGCTATATTGCTATTGTTAATTTTTGGACTGCTCATGTGACAGTTCTTTGCTATCGGCTGTTGCTAACCTGTCTTCGTTCTTCAGGCTGCCACAAGGAGCTCCTCAGAAATGCATAAAGAATGTATCCATGGCCACTTTGTTGTTTGTATTTTTCAATGCGAGGTGCTGATGAGAGGCTCTTCTTTCCCCCATCTTTCCTTTGGATCAGCTTCCCCACATGGCTTTGGAGATGCTCCTTCCACTTGCTTGAGTGGTCCTCAGCCCCTTGAGGTATCCCTTAGCTGAGCTTTCACAGAATGTTAGGGACTGGAAGGGACCTTGAAAGATCATCTAGTCCAATCCCCCTGCTGGAGCAGGAACACCTAGATCAGGTCACAAAGAAACGCCTCCAGGTGGGTTTTGAATGTCTCCAAAGAAGGAGACCACAACGCCCTTGGGCAGCCTGTTGCAGTGCTTTGTCACCTCACCGTGAAAAAAGTTTCGTCTTGTATTTAAGCGGAACCTCTATTGCACCGTCTGTCAAAAACGTGGCCATGTGTCACCCTGCCTCACTTTGTCAATAGTAACTGCAAGTAAATGTGTGGTGGTGGCGATCTCTGCAGGTGTGGCACTGAGGTGAAGGCTGGTTGTGAGCTCTGCCTCACGTTATGTGCCTTACCACAGCTGTCTTCTGAAGGTGCTCATAAAGCCCTTCATCCCCAAAGCATCTTGACTTTGCAGCCAACAGGGAAGAAAAGCTGAGTCCCTTTGGGTTTCTCAGTTGGTGAAAGACGAGTATGTGGCCAGGTGTTTCAAAAACAAAAAAGAAACCAAAAATCCCAACCCTTAAACCTCGGTGTTAACTGCTTGTGCAAGCGGCTAGCACTGTCAGAAATGTGGCATTTTCGAAGGAGGTTCGTTGCCTCAGGTTGTTCTTCCTGGAAAAACTCCCTAAATGGGTCTTATTCTCTCAAGCGTATGTGTTGTTGTTTTTTAATGTTTTCTTAGCCATACCAAGTACTACGTGAGACTGTGGCTGAGTAGTCTGTGTACCCAGTTAGTCAAACACGTTGATGCAGATCCTACAATTGCCTTAGGAAGCAGGGGTACCTGAGCTACCAGGGCCACAGCTGCCCCCCTCTGTGTTGGCCATGTTCATGCCCTGAAGGCGTTACCATCTCTGCCTTCAGTGGCTGTGCCATTCTGCAGTGTGCCTGTGTGCCAAGGCATCTTCCTAGAGCATTCAAGGTCATAACAGGGGCAGTGGGTGGTGGTGGGCTGTGGGGGCTATTGTGCAGCAGAAATGTGAACTGGCACTATGGGAAGGAGGAATTGCTGCCTCTGGTACCTGCTGGGCCAGCCGTGGTCTCACAGCTTGAGGTCTGTGCTGCTAAGTGATGGTCTTGTGAAAACACCTGCTGAGTCCTGAAATGGGGTGGAGGAGCCCCTGCGGAGCAGGTTTGCTCTCTCACCAGGAGTTACACGTGGGACAGAGCAAGGATGCGTCCACAGGGAGGGAGCAGCTCTGGTTTCTGTTTGTGCTTTGTCCCCACGCTGTCCTGCCACTTCTCTCTCTAACTTCCTGCCCCCCTTGATCCCACGCTGTGGAATTTGGACCTTCCCCCCCATCAGGACTAAGGCACCCCAAATGTTTCTTTGTATGAGACTCCCCATGGTCCAGGGTCACGAAGGCTGGGCAGGGGTAACAAGGTGGCTCTGAAGCACTCCTGCCACCCTATTGTCCATGGAATTACAGCACCGTGCTGGGGACTGGCTGCACCTCTCAGCCCAGACCTACTGTTACCTCTTCCCAAGTGTCTGGCCCTCCCTCTCTGGGGTGACCCCAAGGGCTCTGGGGAAGGTGATCAAGGAAGGAAGTAACCAGCATCTATACAAGGTGTCAGGAGGGGTCCTGCAGCCTGGTGGGAGAGAGGCTGGGGAGAATAAATTCACCTGGACAGGAAAAAAGAGGAGGCTGTAAGGACACCAAAGTTCTTCCCCATGGCTTTTTGTGCTGTGCAGACCCAGGGTCTTCACAGGCCCATGGTTCTGTTCACAGTGGCCTCAATTTATGTTTGCTGCATCCTTCCTCCCTGCTGCAGTATCCACAACCTGCCCTGTACCATGCTCTGCCCTTGGCCATGTCCTGCTCTTGGTTCTCCCCAGCAGCCTGCTCTCCTCAGATTGCTATTTGACAGAGGAAGTCTTTACCCTTCCCTGTTTCCTCGCAGCTTTGTTTTTTCCAGCTCACGTGGCAGGAGAGGTGGCTTGCGGCCCTTTGTGTAAAGGGATCAGTATTGTTTCCTTGGCCTCACGGGAAGAGGCTGCCCTCGGTCTGGCAGTGACCCTGCGGAAAGGAAGGCCTGTGAGTTGTGCCACCTCTGCATCCCGTGAGGGTTGTACAGTTGTTACTGCTTGTTCTCCTTCGTTAGTGCTTGGGTCAAAGCAGGGCATCGTCTCTGCTCAGGTTTTTGGTGCTTGGCTGGAGGTGCCCACCTCCCGATGTGCCATCACAGCAGCACTGCTGGACAGGGAGGAGCGACTGGGGTACGATCCTAGTGCCAGAGTGGACTGTGGCCTCTGAGCAGGTCTCACGGTCATCCTGCAGGAGATGTTAGAAAGGCCAACGACAGCATGGGCAGCCCTGGGGCAGGGGATGCTGTGCTGCCAGAGGGGCAGGGAGCCAGGGGAGCATGAGCGGGCTGTTTGTGAGAGCAGCGTCAGCCTGGCCTTGCTCGGGCTTCCTGCCCAGGTGCTCTGTGCTCACCCTCCTGCTCCAGGGTTGTCTGGAAACGTGGCTGAAGGGGAGGGACCTGCGTGGGCACAGCGGGTGCTGTGAGTACACCAGTCCCTTCCAGCAGGCAGCTGCACAGCAGAGCTCTGCTCCTCGGCCCGCGACACCACTGCACCCAGTGCTCTCACAGCACTACCTGGAGAGTGAGGGGCTGCGCCTGCTGCTGCTTGCTCGCTGAGCTGTACGTACCAAGAAGTACCAGGTGAGGGATGCTCTAGGATCGTGGTGGAGACACACAACCTTCAGGCTGTGCCCCACAGTGGCCAGATATGGCTAACTCGGCACTGGGAACCATCCTGGCTGTTCTGGCCTCGCTCATCATCACTGCCAACGTACTGGTGGCCATCGTCCTTCTTCGCCTTATCCAGAAGAGCGGCTACAAGGGACACTATTTTGTCCTTAATCTCGCTGTCGCAGATGCCATGGTTGGCTTCACGGTTATGGGTCTGGTCATGGATGAGTTTTCTGAGCCCTTTTATCCACCTCAGATCTTCTGTGTCCTGCGAATGGCTTTTGTGACTTCCTCTTCTGCTGCTTCTATCCTGTCCTTGATTCTGGTTGCGTGTGACAGGCACTTGGCAATCAGAAAGCCTTTCCACTATCTCCAGTTGGTCACGGGCTTGAGGGTTGGGTTGCGCCTGGTGGGGCTCTGGCTGCTTGCCGCTATCATTGGCTTCCTCCCAGTGTTTGTCCCAGTCTTTCAGAAGATCTCTGACCAGGAAAAGTGTTCCTTCTTTGGAGTCTTCCAACCCACCTACATGCTCAGTGTCTCCTGCATCGGCTTCTTTCCAGCACTGTTTCTCTTCATTTACCTCTACTGTGACATGTTGAAAATTGCCTCTGTGCATGTGCAGCATATCCGTGAAGTAGAACACGCGGGGCTGGCAGGGAGCTGCCCCCCACCCCACACCACTAGTGACATGAAGGCCTTGCGCACCGTGGCTATCCTCATCGGGTGCTTCGCGCTGTCCTGGTTGCCATTCTTCATCGCCAGCATCGTGCAAACTGTGTGTACCAACTGCTTAACCTACAAAGTCATCGAGAGCTACCTCTGGCTTCTGGGACTGTGTAACTCCCTCCTGAACCCCCTGCTCTACTCCTGCTGGCAGAAGGATGTGCGGCTGCAGTTCTCCCAGCTAGCTGCCGGTGTAAAGAGGAGAGTCCTCCTTCACTTGGGCAATCGCCACCGTTTCCCCGGCAGAGGCACCAAATCCCTTCCTACCGTGTCCTGCTTGCGGCTCCAGGACTGACGTGGTAAGGAGTAGCAATCACTCGCTTTCTGGGTTATCTCCTCTGCCACAACCATGAACTCAGGGTCCGCCAGCTGTGGAGGAGATCATGGACAGGGTGGGACAGGACTGGATGCTAATTCCCAGACACCAGCGTGGCCAGCACGGCTGGTTTTGCAGCAGCTCCAGGGCAGCCCAAATTGCAGGTGCACAGCGTGTGTTAAATTTTGCTTGGAGAGCACTCAGCAAGAACAGCCTCGTGTCTGCTGGGACCAAGCCCTTGGCACCCACTCCACAGGCCAAGATCCTTCACCTTTTGCTGTCTAGGTTCCCCAGTCCATACCTGGGGTCCTTCTGCATTCCCCTCTGCCTGCAGAGTCAGCTGTCAGGGTCAGGTCCCCCGGCACCTGGGGCAGGGCTGCTCTCACTGTGTTGGCTTTGTCACCCTTGGCCAGATGCAGTAGAGATTGGGAGATGTGTGCACATCTGTCCAGGACCACATGTGCTCCCAATCACTGCCCTACTTAAAACAAACTCAAAATCCTACAGATGCAGTCAGGGCTGTCCCCCAAAACCTGTCCCCTGACTGCAATCAATCCTGCATCTGGAGAGGTGGCAGGCTCATCCCTCCCCCAGGCTGCACCTGCCCCAGGCAGAGGTGAGGGGTACGGATGGGCCTGGGGTCTCTGCTGTGGTGCAGGGGATGCAGTCAGGGCTATGCTGTTCTTCAGCAGCAGCTGTACCTGCACCAGAGCAAGTGCTGAACAACCCCAGGCACTACATGCCTGGGAGAAGTGCAGGGCAGCACAGGTTGTGCTGTCACTGTTTGGCTTGAGCTGTAAAGTGAGTTAATGAGTAACCACCTGAATGCTGTGCTTTAACAAAGGAGCAGGAAGAAGACCTTGGAGACGGGAAACCCTGTGCAGAAGGGCTGCTTTGTCCCACCAAGGCTGTAGGATTGGTAATGGGACTGCAAAGGTCCCTCTATACTTACTCACAAGGCGGGTGCACACAGCATTTGTGCGTGTTGTCTCACACTGTGGTGATGGCCAGACTGCTGGCCCTGCCAGAGGCTATGGTAACATTGAATTGCTTTTTGTTAAATCACATCCATTTAATCCACATAGTAATAATTTTTCCCTTAAAACTGGTTTCTTAGCTAAGAACTCACTCTCATCTGAAGATGAGGATGCTATGCATAAAATAGCAGTTGCTTCTACCTCTGTCACTTGCCCTTCTAGTAGATATGAAGGCTCAAGGCCATATCCTGTATGCGTGCAGAACCTGCCTTGGTTCTGAGGCTATCCCCATACCAGAGGAAGAGAAAAAAATAAAAGTGCTCTATTAAAAACAAACAAAAATCAGTGGGCACTCTGTGGCACTCCTCTCTCTGCCTGGGAAAGGCCTGAGACCAAACAGCATTAATCAGATCCTGTGCTAGGAGAAGAGCCTGAGATAAGGCTCGTGTAGGATAGACTTGGCTCTGTGTGTGTGAACTGGTGCCTTGCAGGTGGATCTAGTGGGTGGATCCAGTCTGACTCAGTTCTGGGGATCAGTGCATCATCTGTCTGCATGATATGTTTGCTGTGTGAGCTCCAACAGCTGTTGCTTTGCAAAGCTGACCTGTCCTTGCTGAGCGTCTGACGATGCTGAAGCCATCTTCTGCCTCCCTCACGTGTGCTTCACATGTGAATACCCACTGTGAATGGAGATGCTTTGCAAGCGGGCCTCTTGCTGCTTTCCAAGCTTGCTGACTGCTGCATCCACTGCTGTTCTGCTGCCCACAGCGGGCCCAGCCACGGATAGGGTTTGTGCCTGGCACAGATCTGGAACAGGCGGCTGTCACACTGGGTGCCCTGCAGCAGTACCCCTGGATGTGTGGACCTGCAGCCACAGGGAGCCCCTGTCTGCCGCTGGGATTACAAGCTCCGACCACCTCTTCAGTGCCAGAAACGCCGCAGAGACCCAGGGTGGTGGCTGGATGGGTGTAGGTAATGTCCTTTTGTTGATTGTCGGGCTGGAGAATGTAGTCACGCTGGAAACAGAGCATCTAGCAGAGGATCCCTCGCTGTCCCCTGGCGCTGACCTGCCTGTCCTCCCTCTCCTTGTGCCTGGGCTGGAGGTGGTGCTCTCAGGAGACACCTCAGGACCTGACGGGGCCGCTTGTGGTGTGAGACCGTGCCTGGCTCCGCACAACCATCCAGGTTGGAAGAGACCCCAAGACCGCATAGCCCAACCTCTGCCCTAGCACTACCAAGCCCTGCACCGAACCACAGCGCTATCCTGCATCCCAGAGAGCGCCCATCCCCAGCTCTGCCTCACGGTGACCGGGCACCGAGCCCTGGGCGTGTGGGGAGGCTGAGGGGTGAGGGGGGCCCGGCACCATGGGGAAGGGGTCGAGGAGCGGCTCCCCTGCCCGCTGTCCCCCCGCCTGGATGAAGCCCGTGCCTGCGCTATAAATAAATAAACAAACAAATAAATAAGTTTATTAAGTTTATAAGTTTATTAATTAATGACGAAGAGGAGGAGGAGGAGGAGGAGGAGGAAGGGGGGGGGAGGCGCATCCATCCCCGCCCCTCCCGTGGCGCAGCCGCCATGGGGCCGGGCCGGGCCCCTCAGAGCCGCCCGCGGATTCCGCCTCTATCCCGGCGTGCCGTGCGCGGGCGGCCCTCCCCGCCCCCTAGCGACGCGGCAGCCAATGGGAGGCCTGGGAGAGCCGCGCGGAGGGGCCGCGGCGCGGATGTTCGCTGAGGGCGGCCCGCGGCGGGGCCGGGCGAGGGCCGGGGCCGGGGCCGGGAGCGGGACCGGGATCGGGGCCGGGACCGGGACCGGGTTCGGGATCAGGGCAGGGATCGGGAACAGGATCGGGAACAGGATCGGGAACAGGATCGGGGCCGGGCGGTGAGTAAATGCGGTCAGGGCCGGGCCGGGAGCGCGGGGCCGTGTCCCTGGCGGCGGGCGGGCGGCCTGCGCTGCGTCCGGGCCCGAGTCAGGCCTCGGGAGGGCCCCGGAGGCAGCCGGGGGGGGCTGTGGGGGCTGTGGGGGGCTTTAGGCCCCGGTCCCGGCCGGTTCGGGCGCGGCTGCGGGGCGCAAACGCGTCCCCAGCGGCACGGAGCGCCCCGCCCACGCAGCGCCAGGAGGCCGGCATGTACAGCTGGGTACATGTACACAGACGGCTGCACAGGTGTTGATTTGGTTCTTCACGCATTATACTGCAGCTTTATGCTTCTGTGCTTCTTGCTGTCTTATTTGTTTTACTCCTATTTTGGTACATACCTCAAGGTCCATCTATTAGCAGCATACACTCAGATCACGCTGCACATAAATGCTTTTGTTCCTTAATGCTGTGCTTCTTACACGAACACGTCAGTCCTTGGATAGATTGCTCGTTACTCCACATATTTTGGTCATTTTTATCTCCCCTGTACTTGTGCAGCTGCAGGAGGTGAGCACCACGTTTTCCTGACCTGCAGAGCGTTGCTGCACAGCAGTGCGATGACAGGTAAAATGCGAAGGCCACTTGAGGTAGCTGTTTGTCCAGTAAGCCTGAATTCCTTGCCTGCTACTCCAGCTTTTCATCACTTATCAGGGAGTATAATGATAAGATGAGCATAATGACTTTAAACTAAAAGTTTAGATTAGGTATGAGGAGAAAAAAATACTGTGATGGTGATGAAGCCCTGGCACAGGTTGTCCAGAGAAGTTGTGGGTGCCCCATCTCCGGCAGTGCCCAAGGCCAGGCTGCATGGGGACTGGAGCAACCTGGGCTGGGGGCAGGGGGTTGGAACTGGGTGATCTTTAAGGTCCCTTCCATCCCAAGCCATTCAGTGATTCTATCTCCTGCCGTCTCTGGAAGCTGAGGAGTTGTTTCCTCTGTTTCTTGTTATTACATTTGGGGCACTCCGTGACATCTAACTGCAAAGCTCTCTGTGTTAAGTTGTTGAAAGCTCCGTCTGAGCCACTGTAAGGTCAGGTTTCTTAGCTTAAGGTCATGTTTTTGGTATCAGTGACTTCAGCTCGTAGAAGGGGTGAAGTTCAATCTCCAAGTAATTTCAAAGATAAGGTGTTGCTAGAGAGGCATTCTGAATACCTTCCAAAGATGGTGTGAGATTTCTCACCTAATCCCCAACTTTTCTGCTGACATTCTTCCAGTGCCAACGTGTTCATCCCAAAGCAGCGTTCTCCTACAACACCCAGCTGCTCTGCTCTCAGCTGAGACTGCAGTTCTGGTCCTTGTGCTGGTGCTATAGCTGTCCCGTGGCCTCTGGTCTGCTTCTGTCTCTGCGGATTCTTTGTTTGGGGAGCAGCAGCCATCCCTATAGGCCAGGTTTGTGCAGGATTTGTGATGATCCTGGCTGCTGGCTCTGCTGGAAGCTGAGTGGCTGTTCTTCTGCAGAAGGGAAAACTCCGGGAGATGTTACAGCAGCCTTCCAGTACTAACGGGGGTCTACAAGAAAGCTGCAGAGGCACTCTATCAAGGATTGTGGCAGCAGGACAAGAGATTATGGCTTTAAACTAAAAGAGGACAGGTGTAGGTTAGGTATAAGGAAGACATTCTATGCTGTGAGTGTGGTGAGGCACTGGGACAGGTTGCTCAGAGAAGCTGTGGATGCCCCATCCCTGGAGGTGCTCAGGGGCAGGCTGGATGGGGCTTTGGCAGCCTGGGTTGGTGGGAGGTGTCCCTGCATCCCCTGCAGGGGGTTGGAGCTGGCTGGTCTGTAAGGTCCCTTCCAACCCAAACTATTCTGAGTGTGAATTTTCCAGGGGAATTCACTCTCCTTCTCCACCCCAGTAGGTCTGTGTCAGAGGGTCAGTTATTCCTGCATCCCTTCACTTGTAGAAACACATTTCATCTGCTTGTGTGTATAATTCTGCAGAGGTGATAGAAATGTAAAACTGCTCTTGACAGGGATGAGTCTCTGAGCCTTTCACAGTGGCATTTTAGATCGTGAAAGTGTGAGTTTGTGCGTTTGTGCAAAGGTGCATGTATTAATTTCCCGAATACTGGGAGTGAGGTTGGCAGGGTGGCTTCTGGAGAGCTTTGTATCCCAGCTGGACGATGAGCTGTCTGGGATTAGGTGTGTTCCTCTCCGTGGGCTGCAGCTACATGCTGCACCAGAGTATGTCTGCACACTGCCTGGAAGCACAGGTGTCAACATGAAACAACTTCTGGATGCTGTGTCACGGGAAAGGTGGTTTGGCAGAATGATGTGGGCATCCTAAAAATACTCCTTGCTGTGAAATATTTGGAAATTTGTCACAGTGGTGAGGCCATGTAGGCTTTGTGAGGACTGTTGAGGGCTTGCCACAGGGATGCAAAGAGCAGGCGATGGTGGATGTACACGGGTAGGTACGTCGTGTTTCCCTTTGTGTCTTCTCTGTTTATAGCAGGAAACAGAAAGCACGTCACACACAACTTGATCAAGCCTCCATGCTTTTGCTGCTGTGTTGGCAGTGGTTTGTGAATACGTGCCACTTGAAAACACTGCAGGTGGACCTTTAGTGTTATGAATGTTGTGTCTTTGGAGGCAAAGAAGAGAGTAAGTCCTTACATCTCCTTTTTTACAGTGCCCTGCTAGAATAAGCTTGCCTGAAGTTCTTTCTTTTCCACTACAAGCTTCCAGAATCCAGAAGTGGGCTGTGTGCCTTTTATCTTCAAGGATTACCAGGACTTAATCTTTTGTGCAAAGGCAACTAACTTCAGGCATGCCGATGGGGTTCGTTTAGCTGCGTGCCAGTGCTTAGAGCATTGATGTATGAAATCCCTCACGGATTCAGATTTATTACTGCTAATCAGTTCTCCAGCTGCTCTTTCACCTCCTTGCCCCACGCCCAAGAATCAGCCCATTGGTGTCAGTCACTGGAGACTGATGGTGACACATGCGGCTGCAGTTTGTAAACTGTCCTAACCTGGGCTCTTGATGCCTGGGCTGTCGTTGCCTGCTGGTGGGGAAGCGCAGCGCTGGTTTTACTGACCCACCTTCCTTCTGTGCGCAGTGGCTTTTGTGGGTCTGTACTAAGACAGGAGCCTTGTGTGGGAGCTGAACCATCCACCTTTCAAACAAACAGATAAGCAAACTGGAAGGGGCAGGAGAACTGGCTGAAACACTGAAGTATTATCAGCATCTTGCCATGTTCCTCGTGCAGTATGCAGGTACCGTGTGCGTTTCATGGCGTTCTCTTGAGTGTGCATTTCTCTGAGGCTGTCTGGATGAGAGTCGTTAGAATAAAGGATTATGTGGAATTGACAGGAGTAACTATCAAAAGCATGTTGGTCTCTTCAGTGTGCTTAGGCAGCTTCTCTATCAAACGTGTGTCTGCTAAACTAATTGTTATAAAGCTCCAGCTGTTCACACAGGAGTACAGCAGAAAATTGTGCACAAGCCCAACAGTAGATTTTAAACCTGGGAACTATTGCAGAAAGCAAATGTTTGGTGTTGAAATGTGACTTCAAAGCCTCGTATCTGATTCTCTCCTTTCCTTTTCTTGTTGTTTTCTTTTCTCTGTGTTTCTAATTGGTTACTGTCGGTGTGTTCCGTACTTTTTCTTCCCAAATTTATTTCTTTAGACGTGAAAACAAGTAGTATGTAAGCAGACGGGAGTTTGTATTCCGCAATTCTGTTTGTTTCTGGGTAAGAAAAGGGACCACTGCCCAGGTTGAGAAATAAGTACTTCCAACATTTGCCAATGTTGGCAAAAGGTAGGTCCGTATTTATAGCAAAGCCTGCGTCAGCCCATTTCTGTTCTTCCTTCTTTATGCTGAGGCAAGTGGGAAGCTTGGTGAATGGTATAACCATGTGGACTTTCTAAGTGTGTGATTAAATGCTTTTTTGGTATATGAAGGTGTCAGGGTACTCATTACTACTTTTTTTTTGAGTTACAGGGGATGAATTTACGCACTTGCTTTTCGTTAACTAGTTGGATGGCGAGACGTTGGAACGCCTCCTAAACGGTGGTGGTAGCATGAGGTGCTGCTAGGGCGTGCGCCTGGGTGAACTGCTCTGCCTCTAAAGCCGTGCTAGGCTTGTGCACAGAGCTGTGCTGTCATTTAATCAAATGTAATGAATCCAGCAGGTAAGATTTTTGCAAAAATGTTGAAGTGGAAGCCCCGGTTGATGGTACTGTTTTAAGGAATACAGTTTTTAAAGCACACCCAGCTGTGCACAGTCCGCGTTTTGGGTTAGAATTGTTGCTGGCATTTCCAGCTGTCAGTAATAAGAATGATCTGTAAAACAATGCTTTTCAGTTTCAAATGAAGTTGGTTCTCTCTTTTTTTGCTGGTCATTAAGACCAATGGCCAAGTTCTGTTAGCAGGAACGACTGGTTGGAAAATGAAATCTTGTCGAGGGGCTGGCATGAGACCCAGTGAGGATAGATCATTACGTTCATTTATGCCTGGAACATCATGATCTTCCCTATCTCTATTCAGGCTCCTTCTAAACGTGTGCTGTGAGAGCTGCAGCTTCCATCTGTGCGTGTATTTGTGTCTGAGGGGATACGGATCGGAGCTAAAGCTCAATGTTAGTTCACAGACACAATATAACAGGGAATTGTTCCTAAAAGTGGCTGCTGGGCACTGCATTCACCTGTTGTAGGGTGAAAATTTTGGTATAACGAGGATTTCCCATAATGTGTAATTTCATTATGTGAGCAACAGAGAAATGGACTCCGAAGCACGCTGAAAATCTTCTCCCTGGCTTGGTTTGTTCTGGGAACAGAACCCGTGCTGCAGGAGCGCAGCAGCAATGTGCTCACTGTGCTGCTTCTGTTCTCGCTAATATTGCCTCTGTTGCCTCTTGGCCTTTCTTCATTTTGGGGTAG